CATTTGGAGAACTTAAAACGAGAAAGCCAAACTACAATAAGACCAAGTTGGGTCATAAAAAGGAGAGCAGGAGCACCAAAGCTCTCCGGAGTGTAATTGTAGAAGCAGCAAATGCTTTGGCACTTAATTCTGCTTTAGTGTCAGTTCAACATGTTTCACGTTTTAATACTGGAAAGCCCATTGCCAAATGCTCTGCACAAACAATCCGGTGCTGCTCCTTGGTGAGCTCAGGGCACTCGGAGAGCCCCTGGCTCCAGCGCAGCTCCTTCAGCTGTGCACAGGATGGAATTGGCCCGTGGTTTATAAACAGCCCCATGCTCGAGATACCCTTTCTGGAGGGGGAGCCTTGGATGGCTGCTGCTGCTCTAACCCTTGATAAAGGGGCTGGGACTGCTCAGGTCCGCTGCCTTGTCACTGAGCAGCAGCTCACTGCATCTGGGGCCAGTCCCCAGCTATTATTTAAGGAGATGCTCTGCTGGAGCTAGTGCTTTGTGCTGCTCAGGCTTTACTGGCACGGCTGTGCTTTCCCTTGCCTCTGCACAGACCGGGGTGATGCCTGAGGGGGTTTCTGTGGAAGAAGGCATCTCGATCAGGCATTTTATAAACCATTTATCAGAAGTCTGGCTAACAGCTACCATGTCTTCCCAGGGCTATTAGGGGTGTGTTTAAACAAAAAATGCTCAGAATTATTTCTCTGCAAAGAACTGAGCTGCAGATTGTTGCCTGCGTGGGGGCATGGCCTCGTCACGCGGCCAGGCAGCAGCCTGTGGGGGCAAAATTGGCAATTTGGGGGTGGTTCATCAGAGGTGTGAGGAGGTGCTGACTTGAACAGAGCCCACGCCTTTCGCAGGAGCAGGGCTGTGCCTCTGCGATGGCTCTCGCCCTGCTCTGAGAAGGGAGCTTGGCTGGAGATGCTGCCTGTGGGACAGTGGTGAACAAAATGCAGGAGCAACTCGTCCCCCGAGCACAGGCTGGGCACCCTGGGGCCGCAAAGCCCTCGCTCGCATCCGCCCTGCTCTGCGGGGCTGATGGGGATGCGGGGCTGGGTGCAGGTCCTCCCCCATCATGTGGCAGTGCCACCGCACCAGGCCAGGCGGTTCCTGCACAGCTCTGAGGCTTTCAAGATCTCTTGTTTTAAAGAATCAGTTCAAAATATAAACCTCCACGTTTTGAAGGGTGAGCACCCTGGAAAGTGCACCCTGACAGCTAAGTATGATGAAGTGCAGCTTGGCAGCGTCTGCTGGCTGGTGTCGGTGGCAGAGGGTGCAGCCCCGTATCAGCTAGGATACAGCTCCTGTGCGCTAGGAGCTCCTGAGGAAGGGTTAGCGGGCAGCTGGGGCAGGGAGTGATGCTCAGCCAAAGCATCTTTTCCATCCTTCTACCTTTGGATGAGCAAGGGGATGGGTGACAAGACCCAAAGAGTGTTTTGCTGCCATTAAATAGGGACACGATTAGACCTTAAGTGATGGGCACGTGGTGAAGACAAGGTGACACTCAAAAATTATTGAAAACCCTTATAAACTGCTTTTTCCCCTGATAGATTACCATGGGTCCAGCTTTCCATGGCGTAGGTAATGTGTGCGAGTGATCTGTTCTATTGGGGATTATAACAGATGCTGTAAAATCACCTTGTAAGTATTTGAAAATGATTTGTCTGTCTCTGACGTGTCTTAGCATGGGCAGGAATACTCTGTTTGGGGAAGTGAGGTCCTTATCCTGATTTATCTCGAGGTACTTGTAAATGTTACTGTAATTTCATGTTATCAAATCATTTAGCTCTTCCTCTTCCAGAACTAAGTTGTTTTATCTCATGCACCTTGTTTACTTCAAATTAGCCCTGAGGTTGGCCTGAAGTTGCACCTTGTTATTCCTCAACCTCCTCTCTCCGTCTTGGGCTCTGCTGGCAAATTTGAAGGCATAAGTAAATACTTTTTTGTTATTAATAGAATAACTTCCCCCTCCTACACACACATTTTCTTTTCATTCCAGTCTTCATTTTCCATGAGAAACTGACATTGCAGTACAAGCGGAAACCTCCCAAATTGCATGAAAATGCCTTAATTCTCCTAGCAACAAGGTCAGGGCTCAAATCCAGGACCTTTCCACGATCGTGGGGGAAACAGCCCTTCCAATTACCTGCTCCCCCTGCGGTATGGATCCGGTTGGTTCCTCAGCACCTGGGTTTGGGTGGATTTGAAACTCAGCCATGGTATTGTTTAAAAATTCTCCATTCATTGGGGAAGGGCTTGCAGTAGGCTGAGTCCTGAGAAACCTGGAGCTCGTTTTATGGCTTCCCATTGAAACCTGGTGGAACCCCGTGGTGTCCACTGATTTCCCCTTTCCCCACTCATGTGGCTTTGATCAAACCCAGGGCTCAGAGAATGACCCCCCCCGGAACTGGAACCACTGAGCTTTGCCCGGTTCTGCTGTTCATTAAAGTGTTTGTGAGCTTCCAGTTGTAGATGATAAAATTAGGACCTTTGTGCCTAGCCCGGGATGGAGATTGATGGTCCTATGGCAGAGCTGGCTTTGCCCCCATATGGGGGGCACGTATCAGAGCATGGACCATGGATTAGCACGTCTGATGCAGAAGATGCCATAATCTCCCGTGCCCTCCTAATGAGACCTATTCATGGGAATGAAACCCTTTAGGCAGGATGGTGCGTTAATGGTTTTAGGGTAAACATCACATATTGTTGCATGGATTGAATTGAAGCTCTGCGAAAGGTATTAAGCAAGGGAGGGATGGCTGGTCCTGGAGGCTGGTGATGATGAAGCTTTTCCCCTGTTGTTGCCTCCAGCTTGGGTTGTCTGCCTGATGGTTCCCACCTCACAGCCTCGTTTGTAGCTCGTATGTGGTTATTTGGGGATCAGAGGTGTGGGGAAGCCTGAGCCAGATTGGCCCAAGGGGTTTCCCTTCTGTCCCGTGATCCCCTGCCCTTCCCAGAAACGGTATGAAACTCTGCTGTGATGGTGCAGGGTTTTTTAGGAAGGCTTCTAGGAAAGAGCAGGCTGGTCTGGCCTTGGGGAAGGGGTAGTAAGTGTGCGAAGCTGGGCTCCTCGCCCCAGCCATCATGCCCAGAGGAGCCCCTGAGCAGAGCTGCTGCAGCCGGGGACCAACCACCACTGTGGGGGCTGTGCTGGTCACGCTGCTGTGGCTTTCCTCTCCTTCCCAGGGACGGGATGGGTCAAATGGCTAAAGACTGAGAGGGGCTGATACTGTTTAGTTTGGGTGGGGAGAGTTTAATGGTAAGCTTAGCAGCAAGCATAGGCCTGCATTACTGAAAGACTCATTATTTGACTTCAGTGGGGAGTTGGATTGGGCTAATGCTATGATGGAAATCCTTCCTTTGGCTTTGCTGAGCATTGGATTAAGTCCTGTATGATGCTCCGTACTGCGCTAATCCCTGTCTGAAACCAATAAAACACCCAGAGATGAGACAACATCCAGGACTGAAGTAAGCCTGTATCTGCTCCCTACTGTCTTTTGACACATAAAACAAAGTGCCAGTGCACACAATGACGTGTGATGTTCTAAGTGCGGCACTGATAACTCAGCAGTTAAAGGGCACAACTTACTTTCTGGCAGAAGATTATAGGTGAGAAGGACTCTGTGCTGAAGGACTTAAAGATGCTGTTGTGTGAGGCTGCAACTCCCTCCAGTGCTGCGTGTGCTGTGTAAATCGGAGTCCTGAATCCAGCCTGAGATCCACATGCTGCCACCTTCAAAGTCCAGTCCTGGGTCTGTTAATCTAGATCTCCAAGTTGAGCTGAACCCTGTTTGCCAAAATCCTGACCAGCGGCTGCCTCAGGAAAGGAGTCCCAGCAGGGTGGGCGTTCTGCTGCCGGGTGGTTGGTTGAGGAGCAGCACTCATGCTCAGGAGCTTCTGGCCTCCAGTTCTGTGCTAATCCTGGCTCACTCTGTGAGGAGGAAAGTAATTCAGGGACATGCCTTCCTAAGCCAGGTCCTTGAGCTTTGGGTGGATGCTTTTAGGCTGAGATTGAAAGGTCAGGAAAGGGGAAGGACCATGTCCTCTCTTCCAAACAAAAACCTACCCTTAGAGAGCAGAGGTGTAAAATCAGGCACTTGCGTCACCCCCTCTGGCAGTGGGGCTGGGGTGGGTCTGGTGCCTGAGAACACTGCTGCCACGTAGTCCTCCAGCTGCAGTCGCATCGGGGTGCCGGTGGGATGCCGTCCCATCCAGGGAGCTGCTCCGGCGTGGGAACAGCCCATTCCGCTGCTGATGTTGCTCCGGCATGCGAGTCAGAGCCAAGCCTTGGGTGTGCAATGCAGCTCCGAAATAACCGCTGCCTTCGGGGCTCTCCAGGGTCCCAGGGACGGGAGTGGGGTCAGGGACCTCAACGCCTCCAGCACCCCTCTGGCTCATCCCCGGAGCTCCAGGCACGGTTTATTTGCCAGGTGTCGTGCCAGGGATGCTGCGGGGGAGAGTTTTCAAAGCGCTGGGAAGGCTTAGACTAAGGCTTGTAATGATTTTAGTGGGATTTGGGTAGTTATGGATGCAAGCCCATAAGGTATTTCAAAAAACATATCAAAAATGAGTGGTAGAAAGGGAAACGCTGTTGTTCGGCCCATATGAGATTCTGATTCTTTTATTATTTTTTTTTCTGATTAAGTATGATGTTTCCCTGGCACAAGTTCAATTCATCCTCCTTTCCTAATGGAAAAAGCAAAGCTAAATGTCTTGCTTTGCTTGCAGTTGAGGGAGCTGGACTGGGTAAACTTAAAGATTTTTCAGAGACACCAGTTCTTTCCTTGGATAGGAGTGTTGAGAAAAAAAAAATGAAATTATGACCTCATGCTTTCATGCTTTTTTTTAATCATTTCTATTTCAGCTGATGTTTGTTACTGCTCCTATTAACAATGTTTGAACCAAAAACAAGGTCCAGATGTGATGATTTTATTGATGCCAAATTCAGTTTTGGACACTGAGCTTGGCTTTGGATAATGAATTTCTTTCCTTTTTTTTTTCCTTTTTCAGCCTGATGGCACCAGCAAGGAGTGTGTCTTCATTGAAAAAGTCCTAGAAAACAACTATACGGCACTGATGTCAGCAAAATATTCAGGCTGGTATGTTGGATTCACCAAAAAAGGGAGGCCACGAAAAGGCCCCAAGACCCGGGAAAACCAGCAAGATGTGCATTTTATGAAGAGGTACCCAAAGGGGCAAGTGGAGATACAGAAACCTTTCAAGTACACAACAGTCACCAAGAGGACTAAGAGAATACGACCCACCAACCCCAGTTAAAAATAGACAAAAACAGTGTCACAATAATAAACCACAAAAAAAAAAAACTGCACCAGAGGAATATTTTTACATTAAAAATAAGGAAGAAGCTCTATTTTTGTACATTGTGTTTAAAAAAAAAAAAATAAAAATAAAAAAATTAATAAAAGACTAGATGGCAAACGCTGGGGAAAAGCTGTTAGGGATTTATTGTGACTTGAAACACAAAATGAACTGCTCTATTTAAATTGACGTCTTGTTGTTGATGACACAGGTGCTTATTTTGCTTTTTTGGAAAGGACAACTTTTCAAGCATATCCCCAGAGGAAAAAAAAAAAAAGTAATTATTAAAAATAAATAAATAAAACCAAAGAAAACCAAAGTTCTTTCCCAAAGTTACTGAGACCCTGCCCCGAAAAGTGCCGGTTTTGCAGTAATCTATTTATTGTCTGCTGCACGCCGGGCTGAGACAAGATGGTGTGTGCCGCAGTGATTGAGTTTCCGTGGAGTTCTCGACGCATCGATCTTCTGTAACCTTTCTGACGACATAAGGTGTCACGGCTCCGTGATCCTGCATTATGCTCAGTTCTGGAGAATGCTGCTAAATACATTCAAGTGACTACAAGATGACCTAGTACACCAATGATAAGGGAATATTTTAAAACCAGCTATATTATATATATTATATATATATAAGCTATTTATTTCACCTCTCTGTATATTGCAGTTCCATGAACCAAGTATTACTGCCTCAACAATTAAAAAAAATTATTTAAAACACATGTACATATTTTTGCTCTTCACACTTCTTTCCTCTCCCTGAGTAGTGTTTGTTTAATGCATATTTGTCTTTTCTGTGAGAGCAGCAGGGTATGTTCGGGGTAGTTTCCCCACTATAAGCTTCGTTGCTAATTCTGTAATTCTGCCTTTTCCTTAATGCCGTCTTCCTCCTCCTCCCTTGTTCCCACAAGGAAGAAATCTTGTGTGGGGTGATGATGGACTGAGAGTGGGGGAATCCACGCTGGCATTTTTCGAGAGCAGGAGTTAAATTTGATACTTTTCAGTCCAATGAATATTTCCTAAAGCTTTGGCCAAGCAGAAGGTACACTGGAAAATTAGCATCTGACTCAATTAACACGTACTTATGTGTAGCTTGTGTTTCCTTCACTGGAGGTTTTGAGAGGGGCTGTTTGTTCCAGCTAGTTAATTCAATATTGTAGCTTTTAAAACTTGCCCTCAACCAGACGAATCCCTCTGCCTTGCCGTGCGTAGTTCTCCCAGCCCGTCAGTGACTTGCTTTCCTCCCGGGTGCTCTGCACAGGGTATGGATGATGTAAAGCCGTGCATAAATGCAAGGTGTGAACCTGCGTATACAGACAGGTTTGGGGGCAGGGGGTGGGGGTGAGACAGCGTTAAACAGGGAGTGGGAAAAAGAAGCAATGAAATAACTGACCTCAAATTTTAGCTGAGCCCAAGGGAAGCTTTAAGGAGAAGCTTGCTTGACTTCTTCCTTTTCTCTGTGTGCAGACATTGCTACACTGATTGCAGCCAGGGCTGAAAATGCTCTAAGCTGCTCAGAAAGCTTTTTCTTGTTAATCAGAAGAACAACTCTCCCCAGAACAAGCTTTCTCAAGATAACTTGTGAGAGCTGCAGCCAAATCCTACAGATCAAAGCCTTTTGGGAGATGGTGCAGATAAGCATGCAAGCTTGAGGATGCTTATCTGAACCAATCTCCAAACCTTGCAAGCCTAGAGAAAAATGAACAGTGCTAAGCAGGGTCACTCCGTGCTGCTCCACAAAAACTGGGCAGCCTTACAGGTGATGCCTTCGCCCCAGCTAAGCACGGGTGATCACTCGAGTAGCTCCTCTCCCAGTGAATATACAGGGAGCTGCTCTCCTGGTGCACCTGGAGACCAGTGCAAAAGCAGGACCTGATGGCACGGTGGTGGAATTGGTTGGTGGGGGCTGGAAGCGTTTGCCAGCTTTGCCTTCAGATTGATTCATGTGGGAGAGATTTGGGGAAAGTTCAGAGGAGTGCTGGGGGTGGAGGATTGGGAGTGGCTGGAGATTTGCTGTGCTAGCACCTCCAAGAGGAGAAACCCAGTTGATTTCCAGAGTGAAAAAGGATTTATGGTGCCTTTTTTCTCCTTGAAATATCGCCATGGCCCATGGCACTGATGGTTTCACTGTCAGAATGACAGGGTTTGTTTGCCATCGGGGAAATTCGAAGGGGTGGAGGCGGTAAATGCTGGAGAAGGCTGGGCAGAAGGGTTCTGCTATGAGGCCGAGAGCAGCCAGGGAGGATCTGCTCCCTGTCCCACAACGCCTGCTGGGTTTGGAGACCGGCACATGGGAACTAGGGGCCATGAAATTGGCAGGAGGGGCCTCTGGCATTTGTGTCATTGGTTTACAAGAATATTTCCCGGAGAGCAGTGAGACGGGTTCCTTGGGCCATGAAAAGTCGGTGTGGTGAGGAGATACGGTGCTCGCCTGGGCTAGGTGCCGTTGGAGAGGTTTGTTGGCTGAGGATGGTGTGCATTGAGTATATGTGTTTGAACATCTGCTCTTTAGGCTTTATTGACAACAACAAAGGCAGGGGAAAAAAACGAGAAGAATTCACACCAGGTTACTTCAGAGCACCTTTATGTTGGGCAAAAGGGTGCTCTGGGGAGGAGATGCTCAAGAAAGGAACATAAGTAGGGGAAATCCATCACGCACCCAGTGAGGGACACCCCTGTCCTTGCAGCCACCAGGCACGTGGTGTTTCTGCATGTGGTGTTTTGTGCTTGGTGGTTAGTCCAGAGGTTGCAAGTGGTTGCCAAGAGCCCCGTTGGACAGGTTCCTCTGCTGACCTCCAGACTCTAGAGAAGAAGCTTGTCTGCAGCGTTTAACACCTCTTCCTTTCAGAAAGTCTTTGGGCCTCCTGAATATGAGCTGAGATTCCTCATGTAGGCTATTACATTTGATTTACTTTGTAACTGAAAATTGTTAATGAGGATTTAATTACTATTGAGGAAATAACCTCAAGAGCGAGGGGCGTAATGCTAAGTGATTGCTTGAAGCAACTGATGGCATTAATGTGTGTGGAGCTCTGGGCAAGCACACTTTAAAACAAATACACTACTTAATTGGATTTAATAAAGCGTATTGTAGATACTGTTTCACAAATACTGCTAGATTTGTAGCAATGTTTTCATAGCTGTGATCAGATAATGGCACGCTCTGATAATGCTGTGGTTGGTTTTGTCATGAAGCTGGGCTCAGGGGCCACTGGGCATGCCAAAATATGAGGCCATCCAAGGAGGGAAACTTAGTAGGTCCACACTTGGAGTGTGTTGCACAAACCAAACTGCTGTTTGGTGAGACCTTCTGGGTGGTGAGTCTCCCATGCTGTTCCTGTGATGGTGAAGGGTCAGCGGTCAAAGCTCAGCTGGACTCTGTCTGGTCCAAGTAAGGCAAACCCTTCACCACGGCATTGTTGTGCCCTGCCTGGGGCTCACCACTGTCCAAGAAGATGAAGAGTGTCCTGGTCCCTGTGCAGGGATTATCCTAGCTCACGGGCAACGTTCCTGGACCACATTGCTCTCAGCAGGTAGGAGCGGTTGACCAAGTTGGAGCCCCGAAGCTGGTGTGCTGTTTCCTGCTCGACAGCCAAGTAGTTTTGTTCTGCCTCTGCCTTGTTGATGGAAACGCAGGTGCCATTGCAGGCTCCATGCCACAAAGCCGGGTGGCTGCTGCACCTGGTCTGCCCTATTCGAGCGTGATCTGCCCCGCTGGCCAACAGTCAGCTTTTGGCAGTGCATCCTTTGGGAGCACGAGCACATTAAACCTGGTACTCATTTTCTTGGGCCATCCTTGCAGTTGTCTTTACTCGGGATCATCCCCATAGCGCTGGTTCACAGGTCTACAGTTAGAGATGAACTTTTTTTGCAGGTGTGAAGCAGTGGGGAAGCCTCTCCCAGGAGCACACTCGCAGTTGTAGCTGTGCCCTTCTGCAAGCGGGAGGTTATTGCAGCTGCCCAAAGGTTTAGCCCACCCACGCAGGGGAATTTATCCCTTCAACTACGTCTCTTACACACCAGCATGTATGATATCTACACAATTGATATTAGCTTCTGGGACTGTAGCTGATACACTCCTCCAATACATGTCACAAGGTGGGTCAAGGTGGGAAAGAAGCAACTGGGACAAAAATAATGAAGTCTAGGAAATGGATGATGCCCTAGTGCTTCAGTGATGAGAAGACCCAGTTTTTATGTCCATGGCTTCTGGAGTCAAGGCCATAGTCTAAATGAGCTGGATGCCCTAGTGCCTATGAACCCAGTGTGTCTGTAGGGAGATGCATGTGCGAGCAGAGCAGAGCTTGGGGAAGATCCTGGAAAGCATCACGAGGCCTGAGCTTGAGCTCACCCCTTCTGGCTGCACTGCCTCAAATCATCTTGGTCTTTGCAATAGCTTCTATACCTTGGCTCGCAGAAACACAGCAAGGTGGAAGGTAGGTCTGGTTCAAGCAAATGCCCGGTCTACACCAGCTCTTGGCGCAAGGCTTGAGAGGCACATGCATAGTGCTACAGGCAGTGTTTTGCCCCGTGGATGTCCATCAGCTTTCCTGGGTTCGCTGAGCGTTTTGTTGTCTCTGTACTTTCACAAAAGCGGTGAAATGAGATTTCAGCCAGGGCCTCAGACTCCGGCCGGAGACGGTGGTCTAGCAGTTTGTCTTGTCTAGGAGAGTTTGTCCACCAAGGAAGACCTGATTCTGAGCAAACTGCGTTGGCTTTAGGTGAGATAGGTTGGGTAACAGAAAACATATGTGACTTTGGCTCTAAGAGCATGCTATGTTACTGTAAATACCTTTGAAGAATAAGCTTGTAACATGTGAAAATGTGCGTGTGTGGAGTGGTGGTTGTACTTTTGTAGGGCACTGAATTACTCTGCAATGCAGATATCTGCTGATGAAGGAGGAGGAGGAGGTGTGTAAATACCCCCCCTGCAAAGCCCTTTGCCTGTCGCAGCACAGCCCAGAGCCTTGTCTGGTCCCACTGTTCCAACGTAG